GGGATCTAACCAACAACCTTCCGATTAGTGGACGACCCGCTCTGCCTCTGAGCCACAGCCACAGTGTAATTCTATCCATCCAATATGAAGATATCAAACTTAGACATCCAGTGTAAACTCGAGTAAAGCCTGCAAGACAGCTCAGTTGTCAACTTTGCAAGGAGATGGTGTATTTCAGGTCACCGTTTTTCTCTGTCTAAGCTGCTGGCACTACCACTTCACTGCAAGCATCACTACATTATCACTGCTGCATATAGCATTTAAACAGCCTCACAATCCAGCTGTAGTGATTGGTTATGGTCACTCCCTGATCACCCAGATGAAGAGGATTTTTATTATTTTGTTATCTATTTACTGACTTATGTTAATGGTATAACCAGTGAAAATATTTGTATTATTGCACAATGCTTTACTAAAAATTCTCCCACCCCTCATTATTTTTTATTAATTTATTTACAGATTTGTCCGTTAATTTTTTATTGTTTCTATTTGTCGATTAATTTGGGGGTTTTGGGATATCACAAAAATCATAAATAACCAAACATTATCTAGTTGGCCTGATTACACTGTATTGTGACAATATTATATTATGTTGACCTATGTTTTTTGGTAGTTATATATAGTTATAACTTAAAGTTACTGTGCCCAAATTGTCACAACCTGAAATCTTAAATCAGTAAGAAGATATTTTTGTTGACAGATATAGAATGCTGAATCAATGACGCAAAAATAAGTTTAACTTTTTATCACATTTTGTAGAATAATAACATATCCTACAAATAAATGCAACAAATTTTTTTGGAAAACATTACAGCAGCATGATAGCCTGTTGCATCATCCTAACCAAGGCTATTGCTGTGGCTCCATCACATCACTGTGAAATTTCTTGTGGACAAAATACACTGCACCTGGCCCTTCAACTCCCTTGCTCCATTTGAAAGAATTGAAGTTGGCCATATTTTGCCTTATTATATATCTAACACACACTTACACACAGATACACACTCACACACACACTCACCGGACATAGACTTTTGCGAAGCCTATTATCTGCATGAAAAAGATGTCCTGGAGATCAACTTCTTGTTATCCGAATTTGGCCGCTATACAACATAAATATTTAATGTGAATTGAATTGAATTATCATAAATGATATGTCCTTTTGTAGATGAAAAACACCTGGGTTCTCCTGGGAAAGATAAAGCTCCCATATGAACCCTGTCCAAGGATACACGTGTGGCTCCGAGAGAAGCCACAGAAGGAAGTGTGAGGCATCAGAGGACTGCCCTACTTCCTTGATGGAACAGAAAATATGTCGAGACCATTCAACCCCGCTCCTAAAAAAATAGTTCAATATTTAAATATCTTCTATATTATTAATTAAATAACACTAGATTGTTACATTAGTACATAATTGATTAAATAGTAATAGTAAATAGTAAAGTATATAGTAAATAAGCATTTGAATTGTAAGTTTAATTTATTTTAATATAAACTGTTTATAAATGTCTTTCAATTCATTTGGAATGTGGCGGATATGTTGATTGCTATCTTTAGAGCCCCTTTTTCTTCAAAAACAATCGAGTTTAGTTGACAGTCGACCTTGGAGCGTGTCTCCCATACAATTTTTGGAGTAGAAAAATAATTTTGTATCACCAATAAAGCTTGAGACTTTCCTCTTTACAGTCATCGCAAGAAAACTCAAAATCTGTTTCTGGGTCAAAGTGACTCAAATGATGGAGCAGGCACAATATATAAAGTAGAAATAGCAATTGGTCCAAGTACAGAAACCTGTGGACACTCCCATGATTAACTGTCAGTAGTTATTGAAGAATTCATCGATAACACTGAACAAACTGGTAAACGATCCTGATAAATAGACCTAAACCAGCTTAGTGCGGTTCCTTTAATGGCCAATTTGATGCTCAAAAGTCTCTGTAAAAGAATCATTATCAGGTCAATGGTGTCAAAAATGCAGCACTAAGATCTAATAATAGTACAGAGACCAAGCCCATTGTCAGAAGCAATCATAAAGGTCATTACTAAATTTAACCAGAGCTGTCCTCCTGTGCTGTGATGAACTCTAAATCCTGACCTGAAAATCCTCAAATTAAATTATTGCCTATGTAAAAAGAATCACACAACTGTTTGCGACTATTTTTTCTAGAATCTTAGAGAGGAAAGGGGAGGTTAGAAATCGGCTCTATATGTCTGGCTAAAACCCCTGGGTCGAGCAGTGGGCTTTTTAAGAAGGGGTTTAATTACAGCTACCTTTAAAGGACCTTGTGGTACATACCTGAGATAATAAAGAAAGAATTGATCATATCCAGGTAAGAAGTGCCAATTAAGGGTACAAACTTCTTTAAGCAGACCTAGTGGGGATTGGATCTAACAAGACAGGGTTAATGGCTTCTGATGAAGAAATTATTATGAGTTAACTGTGAAGAATCGATGCCGAAAAAACATTCTAAATATATTCTGAGGTGGCAATTAGTTTAAAAATTTCTGATCTTGGCAGAGCCTGCAATACTTATTAAGGGTATTCGTGGACTAATTTCTTCTCTAATAGTAATAATTTTATTATAAAAGAGAAGCTCAATAAAGTCAATTGCTAACTTTAAGTTTATGGGGATACAAGGCTCCAATAGAGCTGTGACTCCTCTGTCCAGCCCTGGCTACAGTGCTGAAGAGGAACCTAGGGGTGTTCTTATTGTTCTTCTATAGTGGCTGAGCGTAATAGGCCCTCCTCTGGCAATTACGGAGGGGCCTTTCTATAATTCTTAACGAATCAATTCATTTTGCCAAATCCAGCGACCACCCTATAATTTCGAAAGCGTGCCATTTCCTTCTATTTCCTTGTTCCTTTGCTTTAATTGCGATTTGGTGGTTGTACACGGTGCTATTTCCTAATGTTTCTATTATTTTCTTGTTTTCTAGGAGCGATCGAATCTAATGTTGATCGCAGAGAGCCTGCAGCACTATAAACAAGAATTATCAATATGGGAGTGACCTAAAGTTAAATATAGGGACTCCTGTTATATTCAGATTCCAGGATATGGCATTGAATTAAAACACTGATGGAATCTCTCCTTAAATTTAGCTTACAGCACCGTCCAGATAGACATCTGCTGTAGGAGTTTTGCCTAATGGCCTTAATAATCTAATAATAGAAATTCAAAAGTTATTAAATAATGGTCAGATAGGAGAGGAATTATGTGGAAAGACTATTAAAATGTTTCAATATCAATTTGCGATTATGATAGAACGAGGTCAAGAGTGTGAATTAAAACAATGAGTTGGTTTAATTTACACAGAAGCAATTGAAGTCTATTAATGAGGTAAATGCATTACTAATATACTCCATTTTCAACATCCTTACATGGGTATTAAAATCAGCCTACAATAATTACTTTATCTGAATTTAAGGACTAAGCTTGATAAAAACTCTGAGATTCCAGATATAAAAATCAGAGTAAACGGTCAAGGAGTGCGGACACTATAACGAATAAAACTGGCCTGCAGAGTTTTCCAGTTTGGATGAAGAAAAGACCTAAGACAAGGCTTTCAATGAATTATACCCATTTTAGTTTAGGTTTAGGGTCCATTAAAACGCTCGAATCATATATGGCTTGCAATACTCACCTCCTCGGCTGTGCCTCGGGGATGTGAGTATTAATATGACTTTGGGGGGGTGGATTAATTTAGGTCTAACATCACTCCTCGTGGGACAACTAGGTCTCCCAGTAAGACAAAGTAAATCAAATATCATAATCTGATATTAATTCATTCAGCAAAACAGCTTCAGAGGACAAGAGAACCTGATATTTAACAGTCCCACATTTCATTCTTTTATTTCGTGCTACAAGAAGGAGGTTATGTTTTAATTTTTATTAGATTTTCAAAATGTTTAACTCTCTTGTTTTTTATTTCTTTAAATAATTTCGGTGGTCCGGGGACAAGACACAAGTCTTCATTGTTGGGTTTTTGGGTGGGTACTGTACTAAAGTAAGCACAGAGAAGTGTGTAAGACAGCAGCTCTGCTCTTCCTGGTCCCAACTCTGCAATGTTCAGGATTTAGAAATAGACTTTCGCCATATTCCTGGATAAGAGAGCGCTCATCCAAAGTGGGATGATGTCGTCTCTTCCTAATCAGACCAGGTTTTCCCAAAAAAGGTGCCAGTTATTCAAGGAGACCCACATCGTTTCTTGACCACAACCATCGACAGCCAGCGGTTGAATGACGACATGCGGCTATACATGTCATCACTGGTCACATTGGGCAGGGGTCCAGAGAAAACTACGGAGTTTGCACAATTATGTCTTTTGCAAATCTACCACACAATTCCACATTAATCTTAGGGATCTCCGATTGGTGTAATCGGGTGATTTGATTACCGCCGACGTGTAATAACTATCTTATTGTATTTACGTTTATCTTTAGCCAGCAGTTTTAAATAGGATTCAACATCGCCCGCTCTGGCCCCAGGGATAATTTTAACTATGGCCGCTGCTTTCGCTAACTTCAACGTTTCAAATGACTATAGAAATGAGCCAATATCAGAGTGGTTTCTCAGCGGGTGTGTCGCTTGAGTGGGAAAATCTATTTGAAACGTGAATCGTTTGTGGTTATTGTGGCTTTCAGTGTTTTGCTGCTATGCTTATTTATCAGTTTGATAATTACCTTTTAATTTTTCAGTTTGTTGGAACAAAGAGCAGGGAGAGTCTGTAATAGTCATCCGAGAAGTAGTTGTCAACCTCCATCTCGGTACTCGGGGTGCTTCATCTACGTCAGAGAGAGCCCACATCGTCGCTGTCGTCAGGCGGTTTGACGGTTGAGGACCGAGCCCTTGGCGCCCCCCTGGCAGAAGTAGCCGTCATTGGAGATGTGTTGTTAGGGTTGCGGCTATGGAAGTCCCTGATGAGGTTTGTTGTCCAGAACGTGCTGCTGAAACAGGACCCTCATCCTTCAGGACGTATCTCCCAGTCAAACCAGGTACTGAGAAAACCCTCTCCTGACGATGGGAAGGAAGACGGTGGACAGAGTAAGACAGGACCCCATTCCGATCCAAGTCGTGTTGTGCGTCTCGATGAAGTCCATAACAAAATGACGAAGGAAGGTCGTGAGACACCACTCATTCTTGATGTAGTCTCCAAGACCCAGCATGAAGGCATCGCACTGGGGGAAAAGCGTTCACTCACTTTGACAAGCCTTGTTTGAAAGTCTATGGCAAAAAGTCAGCGACGCTCCGGTTCCCTGGGTCAGTCCAGTAGTCCTCGCAGCGTCGGACCCATGAATTCTGAACACTTTTGCGAAGCTATGCTGCAAGTCATGGAAGGAGAAGAAGCTGGAGTTTGTCGCTCCATTCCTAGCGTTCGCCAAATAGCGAGCTCTGCATGTCAGTGTTGATGGTGAAGGCTACTTAGCTTCCTCATGGGCAAAGGTGTAGGGCTGCAAGGGCGAAAGAGATAATGGAACAGTTGGTGAGAAAAGGATTGCAAGCCCTAACAAGGTCTCCAAGCGTAGCACTCGGGTTCCTAACCAAGTCTCGGTGACGACCTTGGCGGGAAGGAAGTTGGGCTGGAGCAGTCAGAGCACAGAACCAGAAGGGAAAAGCCAGGAGTTGTAGTTGGGCAATGGATGTGGTTAATTGCTGACTGGTGGCCAGGCAAACCAAAGCCTGTTCCTGGTTTGGAGATATGGCCTGGTGAATCTTCCGTATTGGAGGTGAGAAGCATTGGCCTCGTGTGCTGGAAGTGTGTCTCAATTCTTCCGAAGCAATTTTGTGACCAGTATGTGAGTCATCACTTTGCCGATTGTACTGTAGACCAATATGAGCAACACTTAGGAAGGTTGATAAATAACTTTATTTTCAGCTTGTGGAAACAAACAGAGCAGGCAGAGTCTTTTAGAGTCTTTTGCGGAAATATTAGAGCTTGTCAGGTGAGTGTGTGCACACGAATTGACTTTTCATCACATCAAAATATATTTTAGTGTATGTTTATTCTGGAATATGAGAATTGTGTGTGACAAAGGCAAGCGCAGTAATTTCCTGATATGGATGAAGTTAAACATGTGCATGCAAATGAGAAGCAAGCTCAAGCATCTCAGTACGTCACTCTTCTGATAACGCAAACTCAGTATCTTCAAAAACGTACTCAACAAACAATTGTGAATTGTGATAGGTCCACACTTTGGTAACAAATACAATTTATTGTCGAGCTACCCAAACTAGAGCCGGGTTCTATCTGGGTTTCTGCCTCTTAAAAGGAAGTTTTTCAATTGCCGCTGTTCGCCAAGTGCTTGCTCATGGTGGGAAATGTTGGTCTCTGTAAAATAATTTTATAAGGAGTTCGGTCTAGACTGCTCTATTTGAAAAGTGTCCTGAGATAAACTTTTGTTTATGAATTGGCGGCTATAAAAA